TTTTTTTTTTGTTTTAAAATGAAACAATCTCTGGCAAGAAATCGATGAGAGAGAAAGGGAGAGAGGGAGGGAGAGAAAGAGAGAGAGAGAGAGAGAGAAAGGAAAATCAGATCAAATAAGATGATGTAAACTCGGTTCATTTAATCGCAAATTATCCGAATGATATCATATCGATTAGAAAGGAAGAGTAATTAATGGTTGGGAAGAAAAGTGCTTATGCTTAAAATGTAATTATTAGAATTGTTCAACTATTTCGTAATTTATCTATCTTACTCTAATCCTATCATATCATATCATTCGGGATGTACTATTTCAATTACATTATACAAAGAAATACAAATTCAATTCAAATTTTAGGGATAATTTATTATCAGTGGGTACACTTTCCTCAAAAATATTTGAAATAATTTCTATAAATTCTATCATTTTGTTTTTACCCATTGATAATAATAGCTAAATTTCGTCCCTAAAATTTTATCATTTCCATTAATAACAGGAATAAGTGAATGGATTGAATGGAATGAATGAATTTCATGTTTGTTTATTGCTTGTAAATTTCATTTCATTATTTTCATGATATCCATCCTATTCCTCCTCTCCTTTCCTCCTTTTTTCATTCATCATTCTAATATTACTATATTTAGGTAAAAAAAAAAAAAAAAAAGAAAAGAAGAAAACGAAGAGAGGAACGAAATAGGAGGAATATTCACCGAGAAAGATTGCAAGAGGATAAAGGAAGGAACAAAAGGAGAAGTTAGGTACCCCTATATCTTCAAACATTTCACTATTATTGCTATTTATTCATTTCGAAATAGCTTTCATTCCATTCTTTTTTTTTTACCTCTCCTTCTCCCCACCACTTCCTATCTCTCTTCCTCTTCCATTCCTTCTGCTCCTCTCTCCTTCATTCCTTCATTCCAAAATCATACATTATTATTACTACAGGTAAAAATAGCGGGAGTGGGAAGAGGAAGGACAAATACGTCATGTAAATTAATTGTATTCTGGAGGAAAGTGTTTCATCAACTTTTTTAACTTAACCATAAAAAGTATTTGAAAAAAGAAAAAAAAAAGCATAGCTAAAGAAAATGACCGGGAAAAGTAAATAAAACTAGAAAAGGGGAGAAAAATAACGCAGGGGAGGAAGGATTGAAAAGAGGGAAAAATCGAAATGAATGGTACTGTACGATTTGATAACTTAGAAGAAATGAATACTATCTCATCCATCCAAATATATTCCTGAAGAGAAAAAAAAAAAAAAAAAAAAAAGAAAAAAACAAACAAACAAACAAACAAACAACAACAATAACACCGTAAACCTTTTTTTTTTTCTTTTTTTCTCCCAATCCTATCTATCTATTAATCAATTCATTTGCATTCATTTCCCTATTGGTCCAAATTATTTAACCAATTGATCATCCTTTTTAAGCTTTCCCTCTCTCTTTCTTTCAAATCATTATGATTAAAGCAACAATTATTGGTATTCCTTCTTTTTTTTTTTTCCTCTTCTTCCATCCTATCTCTCCCAAATAAAACTTATTGTTTTAAACTTTTTCTCCCTTTTTCTCTCCAAAAGTTATCCATTTCTTAATAAATTTTTTTCCCTTCCTTTTCCTCCTCCATTCTTTCCATTTCATCTCTTTTTTAATCTTTACAAATAAATATGCCAATAATATTTTTGCTAATCAGGAAAAATATAAATATCACTAAAATTTTTCATCCCTCCTTTTTTTCTTTTTCTTCCTTACTTACCTCTTCCCTCTATCATTTTCATGGATAGATAAAAATTTGATTTAAATTTGCGAAATTTTTATCACTAACTTTTCTTGATCAATGAAAGTTCTATGTTCTGTATAAACTTTTTCAATTGATCGTTATACTTTAAAAAAAAAAAGAAAAAAAAACTAAGAAAAAAGAGAAGGAATGAAAGAAATAGTTGAAAAAGGAATGAATAATTTTGCTTTTAAAAACAAAACACTAAATTTAATGCCATCTTATACTGAAATGAAAATTTCAAACCTTCCTTTAGAAATAAAAAAAAAATAGAAAAAAAGCATCATCAAATTTGCACAAATAAAAATTTTTTCATATCACATAATTCACAAATACAAGTGAGAAAAAGAAAAAAAAGATGCGAACATACCTACACCTATAACCTATAACCTATAACCTATAACTTATACCCACATATACACCCACCCATATATACCCACAATATACTTTAATATCAAAATAAAGGCATAAAATTCCATTCCTGATTTGTGATAAATGAATGATGCATAATACATATACATACAATTCTATCATCACTCCAATTAATATACAATTTCCCGGGGAAAAAAGAAAGTTTCATTGTTTAATACAATGAAAAAATTATTTGAACAAAAAGAAAAAGACAAACTTTGGTGTATTAACGCCCAAATTTCCTCGGAACCATAAGCTCATCTAAATATGAATAATACTGTTGTTCTATTCTAAAAAAAAAGAAAAAGAAAGAAAGAAACTAATTTTTAGTTAG